AGGCCTGCCCTAGGTGCAAGTCTGTGACTTCCTAAGCGAGAGAGAGGGAGAGAAAGAAAGGAAAGGGGGGGGGGGGGGAGTGTGCTTGGACTCGCCCTGGGTCTGAGTGAGAGAGGGAGAGAGAAAGAGAAAGAAAGAAAGAGAGAAGAGAGAGAATATAAAGAAAGAGAGGGAGAAAGAGAGAAAAAAGAGAAGTAAAAGAGATAAAGAAGAGAGAGAGAGTAAGAGGAGAGACAATGGAACTAGAATAGACTTGAGTCTAGGTGCACCTTTATCGGTCCCTTTGTATGCACATGAGAGAGAGGTCTTGGTCTTGGTGCGTTAAGACTAAGGTTCGAGGCTTAGGTATATGGTTTTAGGTAGGTTAGGTTGAGATATGGTATATAGGAACTAGTGTGTATGTTGCCATATGGTGTATGGTATAGGGTAGGGTTTAGGCTAGCTAAGGTAGGGTGTAGGGAGTATGGAGTAAAATTGGATGCTAGGGGTTCAAAGGTGTATAGAAGCTAGGAGTTCTAAGAAGTATGGGATTGGGAGTTAGGAATCCTAAGGTAGTTAGTGTAGGATTCCTAAGGTTATTTTCTCTCGCTAGGAAATGTTTATCTCTCCTCTTATCTTGAGTCTTGAACTTGAACTTGAAAGCAAAGTAAAAAAACAAACTCCAAATGCTCAAGTGTTCAAGAGTTTGATTACAAATGACTAAGAGTCTCTTATATAGAGCAAGCACAAAACAATGGTGGAATGCTAAAAAACTATCAAAATTGTCAAAATATACACATTTTATGAATTAAAATATTAATCCCTTTTTGGGACCAAATGACCAAAATACCCTTCAGTACTTTTTGACAAAACCATCCCTTCATGAGGGGCCTCTTATCATTGCTAGGCCTCGGGAGCTTTTTCGGATGCTTATGGTGGTAATTTGGGCAATCAATCGTTGTAGAATTGATGTTTGAATTATTACGCACGTTTTGATATCCTTTGATCATCATGAAACAGAGTTTTAAGGAAGAACCCAAAATCCGACCAAGTTTCATAAACTTGTGATTCTTCGACCACCAATCCGGCACGATCTATGACGTTCAAAGCCTCATTTTGATCACAAATTAAAGAGGTTACTATCATGATCATTTTGTGATAAATTTCGTCTATTTTGGTCTCCGTTTGAGCACGTTCCAATTTTGGGAAGTATCAGAAAATGGGATTCCGAAGGCCGAAACATGGGATTCTGGTGACTAGAAAAGTATGTCATTTTCGACCTCAAAATTCGTATCATCCGACCTCTGTGTATCAAATTGTAGTTCTTCGAAGCACAGTTGTAACGGACCTGTACTTGCAACGATCCGACATCGAGACCTTAATCTATGGCCTCTCAAAGAAGAGTCTCTATCTTCAGGGTCTGCTTATGCAGTATTGTTGTAACTTGCAAGTACATGTATGTACTTGAGGTTTTGGATCCAAGGCACCTTTTTGGAATTTTTTTTTTTTTTACCCGTGGCACCTTTTTCGGGTTTTCATCACATCCTTCATTTTTCATTCTTTTTTTTTTTCCCCGTGGTGCCTTTTTCAAGCTTTCACCACATCCCTTTTTTTTTTTGGAGCCCGTTACAGGTACTATTTCTTGAGATACATCACATTAATGGGGTCGTTGAATTTATACCCTTCTGATTTTTTATTTGTAAGAATTTCCTGCATGCGCTTGGTTTACCACGAATGACCCCTCCCAATTAGGTTTGAATTTTCCTAATGGGTGCGGATTTACATGAGCGTGAAAGATCTTCTTGAGGACCATGTCTCTTTCTCTGAATTGTTGGGGAATAACTTTTCTTTGGTATTCCCTTTTGATTCTACAACGGTAAGCTACGATATTCTGTGTTGCTTGTCGTCATCTTTCATCCAAAGTATCAAGGGCAGTGACTCATGCTTCGATGTTTTGTTGCTCATCTAAATCATTATGAATGAGCACTCGGAGGGGCGGTATCTCGACTTCGATGGGTAGCTTAGCTTCCATACCATACACTAGTGAGTATGGGGTCATGCCAGTATCAGTTTTCTCATTGTCTGGTAGGCCCATAGCACGTCATTTAGCTTTTCGTATCAATCTTTGCCACCTTCTATTATCCTGTCTATAATTCTGAGAAGTCTTTTGTTTGTGGCCTCAGCTTGCCCTATTTCCTTGAGGGTAGTAAGGTATGAAGAACTTATGTGTTATCCTAAATTTTTTGCACGCCTTAATGACCCTTTCATTTTTGAAGTTGGTTCCATTGTCAGTAATGATTGACTCAAGAATGCCAAAAAACATTAAAAACGCCCCAAGCAAAAACCCAATTTCAGACCATGAAACCCTACAAGCAAAAATCTATCCTTTATAATAGTCTCAAAGTTTTGAAGAACTAAAGGGTCCCATAACCCACCAGATGAACCACTCTCATCATTCCCACATAAACCAACAGCATCAGGTCCCCAAACCTCCCTAGCCCCAAAAGCATTGGGACTAGGGAGTTTATTTTTCTGTAAAACCAAAATCACCTGTTTATACTTAGAGACCAACAACAATACATCCCTTTTTCTTCTAGTGTCACCTAAACCCCTTACATTCTAAGATAAAAAGTTCACTTAAAAACCAAAGGGAGGAGGGTTAAAGGGGAACCTGGTCCATCAAGACTGACGCCAAAATACAGCTCTTCCAACATAAGAGCTTCATTTAGCTCATCATCTCTATGTGAAGATGTCGAAGAAGAATCCATATCTACCACTATTGAGTCGCAGAAAGAAACAACTGCAGTAGTCAAACCTCCTTTAGGGTTGTCACGGGCCTCAAGTCTAGCTAACGAACAGACACCCTTCAGAGCAGCCTTATTCTTCTTGACAAGAGCAAAACCTTTGGCAAGGGTCTTAGAAGCAGAGGCAATATGGGTGGCTTGGTTTTTACCAGTCTTTCGGGCTGGCGCCTCCCCTTTATCAACATAAATCCTAGCTCTTATGCACTCCTTAATATCCTCCATCACCATGCTTAGACGAACATCATCCATACCCATGTCATCCATCATATTTTCCACCAGAGAAAACTCATTCACATGCATCTCCTCAGAACGCGACCCCGAGATAAGTAATGGACGAACCTCCATTCGAGATAGGACATTCAGAGGCAGTGCCACAGAGGACTCAGTCAAAACTAATTCTAGTTCAGAAACAGCTTCCTCCATATGAGCCCCAAAATGGGTCTCATCAATTAAAAGCAAAGGACTCAAAGGAGCTTCCTCTAGTTGTATATCCATAATAGCCAGAGAATTGATTAGCAAAGGATCAAATCGAGTTCTAGTTTCCTTTGCCTAACCCTTGGCTGCTGTCAAATGAAAAGGAATGGGATACATATTCATCTTCCAGAAAACAACCAGTAACATCCACGACAACCTCCATTAGAAACACTGTACCGAAAGCTTTTTTTGAGCAAGAAGATACAAAAGAGAAACCCGAACTGAAAGAAAAACCAGTAGTTGCCTTTTCAACTCCACTTCTTTACAAAGGTGCGATAGAGGAAAGGAAATTTTAATTGAAGTAGATTAACCCAAGGGAAATCATTCGCCCCATACGCATTTGATTCTCTGTCAAAAATCCTCGCATCATGAAAATCTGTCTTGGGACTCAAACCTGCCACCATTCCCTGCCACCATTCCATCAGAAACTGAATTGACCCTCTGCAAAAAGGAAGGTAAATCCGATAGACCATCAGATTCCAAAAAACTTGTAATTTGTGGGTCATTCAATGGAAATGCACATGTGGTCCCCAAGATCGGCGCCTCACTAATCTCCTCACCGTTGTTGAAACGCACCTTATAAACCAACTTATTGCTGCTAATAAATTTCGACAACCCAGCCGATGATTCCGAGAACCTGCCAACTGGAATGCACCGTTTAATGATCTTAAGAGTTACAACATTTTCAAATTTGAATTTCCGATTGTTTCTCCTAGAATTACTTCTCGAATTGTTACGGCTAGACTTCCCAGAAAAACACTTCCGGTAGTCATCTCCTTCTTCTCCGGTCTCTCATTCTCCCCGAACTTTTTTATCTCCAATGTAGAATCCATGTTCAACTCTAAATGTGAGTTGTAATTTCTAAAATAATATAAATCACAGAGCTATAGGCAGTTGAGAATATTGAAAGTGGATGGCTTGTTACAAGATGAACTATTTTTAAAACTTGAAATTTTTTTTTTTTCTTTTTTTATATTCATACATTTCAAGGTCAGGATGGTCAATTAAAAGGTTCTCCAACTTCGTAACTCTCTTTTTTCCTAAATTTTTTATATACACCTTATTTTTATAATATAAAATAACAACCTTAGATAAACTTTTAAATAAAAATATTTATTCTTTACATTTATTCTTGCCCCGAGTTCCCCTACCTCGGTCGTCGAGGCCCAAGAAGCATGTGGCTTGTATAAGCGCCACGTGGACCTCCCAAAAGATCTTCTCCCCCATTTTCGTTGTCCCAAGGAAACATCAAGCACTAAAAAAAACTCTTTAAGGCCACCACTACTTCTTTACACTATGCCAAAAGTTCTCTTACTCCTTTAGGAGTATAGTATCTATTTACTCCCTCGATGCTAGGGATAATGTTTGAATCTCAAATTTTGGGAACACAATCGCTGCAACCTAGAATAATCTCAGCAAAAAAAGGTTTCAAGCAAAGGCTATATTTAAAAAAAGTCAATGCGTCAATATTGAATAGAGACCGTCCAATTTTTTAGGGCTAAATCTAAATGTCAAAATTCAAAATTCAAAATTATTTTTAAAAAATAATTATCTAGTAGTTTTAAGATATTTTCCAAAATTTTAGTACAAAAAATAACCTACATGGTAGTTTGATCAAGGGAGTAGATACACAGTATGATCCTGCAGGAACATAGGATATGTGCCACTTGAGGCCATTCTCTGATAGAGACGTTGCGTACCACATTGTTTACTTGCCGCAATGGAATTTGAACAAAAAAAGGATTTGTGGCTTGAACTCCACTAGAAAGCAGAGGGCCCTGCTCTCTAACAGGAGAGACAGAGAGACCCACATCGTTTTATTGATTATATTTCAGAGAGAGAGAGAGAGAGCGAGATCCATGTCGTTGTATTGATTATATTTCTGGTTCAGCTTCTCAAACCAATGACCGTTGTTGATTCAGACATTATGTCGTAGCCACTGGTACGACAATCAACATGCAGCAGACTACAAGCTTTAAGCTTTTAACACCTTGCAATTTCAAGAGCACAAAAAGGCCATGGCTGTTATTACCAAAGCACCCTAGAGGCTTTTCATTTTCCACAATTAGGGCGAGTTCAGACGAATCAGGAGGAGATGGTGATGGTGGCGCCATTGATCCTTCTTCCTCCAAAATATTCTCTCGGAAACAAACTTATGCTTTTCTCAAACAGCAATTAGCCGTTGCTGCCAAGGCTGAGGTACCCAAATTATTTATAATTCATTCTTCAAATGTTTGGTAATCTATTTACTATTTGCCATTATTTTGCATTGAGTTTAATGAATCTGAATTGGCCTTTTCGTTTCTTTTTTTTTTAATAGAGTAAAACGCTGCAATTTAGTTGGTTTTTTTGTATCTCTATTTTTTTTGTTTTTCTCTGTTTTTGCTTTTAATTCATTGAATCTCAAACTTAAGGTGGGTTTTGTTCTACTTCCAATCCAATTTTCTCTATTTGTGTTAACTTGGTGAAAAGATGGATCTTTTTGGTACTAGAATTCGTTCTCCCTGAAGTTTGTTTTTGTTTTTTTTTGTTTTTTTCTATTATCACGTTTGCTAACTTTGCATATCATTATATTGAAAATGACTTTCCTTCTGGTTTTCATACCTTTCATTTCAACAGCATACTTGAGCTCTTTTCTACTTGTAAAATAGAACATATGAGCTGCAAATTGGGTTGTTAGTTTCTTTCTAAATTGGCTGCTGATTCCTACTTATTGTCTTAATCTTAGCTTAGGGCTTTGTAAGCTCGAAACTCAAAACACATGCGTGCACACAAAGAGAGAGATACATGGTGCTACTCTTTCTTCACAAATGTAAAACACCTTTCTTATCCTGTGTTACTGTATATTTTTGGTAGGCATAGGCGATGTTAGTGCATGGGTTTTTTTTTTTTCTTTTTGTTGTTGTTGTTGTGTTGACATTGTGCTAACAACACTGAAGTGATGTTTTTGGATTTTCCCTCAACAAATTATGAAAAGTTCCTTAATCCAATATTATTTTTGGACAAGCTGGAGCTACTTTACATCCAAAATGTTTGATGGATGTAAACCAAGCTAACTCTATAGGATGCATATAGGTTTGGTCAATTAGATCAGTGTATCTTGATGCTATGATTGGTCTTGTTGTGTCGAACCATATTGCTAAAATAATTAATCAGTATTATGAAGTTGATTCAATTCTGATTTTATGCTTTTGGTTGTTCTTTTTGCCCTTTTTGAATTATCCATGCTAAATATATGGAGACCCGAAATAGCGTATATGCACCCAGCCCCGGACCCGTACCCCGATGGGTCCAATTTAAACATACCTGTAACCGTACCCGTACCCGATGGGTAATGTGGACTTGGGACCCAGACCCGTACCCGGCACTATCACCTTATAATGTTATGCTCATAGTTAAAGGAACCTTGTGGGTAGGGTGACGATCCCGCTCTGGAATGTCAATCCCACGGTTCTTGCAAGGGATCTTGTAGGGAGCCCGATTTTTTGATTTTGGGATCTCGCTCCCAAAAAAAAGGAATCACGTTCCATCCAGCAGTGGAATCCAGTTCCATTTCGAAATAGATCTCCACTCCCATCAACCATGGTCCAAGGTTTTGGTTCTTTAAAATCTTGGGTTCCATATTTTTGGGATCTACTTTTATTAACGGATGATACCAAGTTAGAGATTGCCATTGTCCCAAGTTCCCACTATTTAGGAATCATAATTTCGTAAAATCCAATCCCTTTTTTGCATAGCATGAAGTTCCACTATTTTAGATTCTTAATTTGAACTTAGCATAGTCTAGAGTGACCCATTGTTTTATTAAGTTCTATTGTGTGAGCCATCCCTCTTAGTTGTGAGAATATATATTTCATTTAAAATCTTATATTTATGATGTCCTATTGTTTTAGATTCTTAAATCACAATGATGAATCTTCTTAGTTGTAAGATGAGAATGTATGCTTTCATTTCAAGCTTTAAAAAGCTTATTTTATATGTGAGAGAGAGAGAAAGGGAGAGAGAGAGAGATAGTAGTTGACTACATCCGAAGAAGATGACTCGTGAGTGGTAGGATTCTAGGTTTCTGGGGCCAACCAGCTGAGGACCTTGATTTCTGTACATTAAGAATCTTGATATTAGAGCAAGAGGAACCCCGTTATATGACATACTTAAACCTCGATTCCTTAACCAAGGGAACTCGTACTAGCTCTACTTGACAACCTCATTTTCATGTATAGTGGAGCTTACATTCCTGCTAGTCAAAACATCGAACTTATTGACATGGGATCTCACTCCCATAAACGTAGATACAATGAACGCTGATCCTAACCCCATGGAGCTTCCACTATAGGGCGGTTTGGCGAATCTCGAACTGATCCCGCTCTTGTCTCCAACAATTATGGTTATGTTATTACTTTTTCTTTTTATTTCCTACAATTTTGTATTTCCTCACATATTTCTATTCACCGAAGCCTACACTCAATGCTTATGGCCACACTCCAACACAAACGAGGAGCATTCAACAATGATGCGTAAATATATGCCCTTTGCTTCCCTTTTATATGCTTGATCCCTTAACACTTGAAGCAAACACCTAATGTGGGACTAAACGTCTCTCTAAACTCTAAAAGGTAGTAATAAGTAGGCCTAGTAAGCTTTAATAACCTAGGCTAGTAAGCTTTAATGACAAAGGTAGCAACGAATAGGTCTAGTACGCTTTAATGACCTAGGCTAGTAAGCTTTAATAAGTAGGTCTAGTAAACTCTAAATGTCTCTTACTAGGCTTTGAATGACCAAAATGACCTCTCTCTCAATAAGCTTTAATCTCGTTTTCTCTCCCACTTCTTTTTTTTTATATTTTGTTCTCCCTCTCTCTCATTTGTTGCTTTGTGGGTTGGGAAAATCTTTTAGGCGCACATCGAAAAGATTAGAGAGGTAATGTGCGGGGGTTTGCTATTAAATGAAGGGTAGGTAGAGTTAAGGCTAGCAATGGACCGGGACCCGATCTGGGACCCATCCGGTATACCCGAACGGGGTCCAGCTATGGGTCCAAATTTGGACCCGCAGGTAGGGTCCAGGTCAGGTCCGGGTCCCACAATGTATACCCGAACATTTTTGGGTACGGGTATGGGTATTGATGGGCCCGCCTTATACCTGACCCAGGACCCGAACATTGATTGACCCCACCCAAGTTAGTATGCTTTCTCACTCTATCTGCCCTTCATGCTATAGCAAACGCCGCACATTACCTCTTTAATCTTTCGATGTGGGACTAAAAGATTTTCCCAACCCGTGAAGCAACAAAAGAGAGAGAAAGGGAGAAAAAATAAAAAAAAAGAAGTGGGAGAGAAAAGGAGATTAATGCTTATAGAGAGAGGTCATTTTAGTCATTCAAAGCCTAGTGAGAGACGTTTAGAGCTTATTAGACCTACTCATTAAAGCTTACTACCCTAGGTCATTAAAGCTAACTAGACCTACTCGTTATTACCTTTATCATTAAAGCTTGCTAGACCTAGTCGTTATTACCTTTTAGAGTTTAGAGAGACGTTTAGTCCCACATTGGGCATCTGCCTCAAGTGCTAAGAAGTCAAAGCTTATAAAAGGGAGGCAAAGGGCATATATTTACACATCATCATTGTTGGCTGCTCCTCTTTTATGTTGGAGCATTGACCATTAGCATTAAGTGTGGGCCCCCGATGAATAGAAATATGTAAGGAAATACAAAATTGTAGGAAATAAAAAGAAAATGTAATAACATAACATTATAAGGTGTTAGTGTCAGGTCCTGGTCTAACATTACCCGTCAGGTACAGGTACGGGAATGTTTAAATTGGACCCGTAGGGTAAGTGTCTGGGTCCGGGTGCATATAGGCTATTTCGGGTCCGGGTTCAGCTGGACCCGACCCGTTGCCACCCCTAGGTAGAGTGAGAAAGCATACTAACCTGGGTGTCAATCAATGTTTGGGTCTCGGGTCAGGTACGGGGCGGGTCTACCAATACCCGTATCCGTACGTGAAAGTTTTCGAGTATACATTTTGGGACCCAGACCCTACCCGCGGGTCCAAATTTGGACCCATAGACCCTGTTCGGGTATACCTGCCGGGTCCCAGATCGCGTCCGGGTTCATTGCCAGCCCTAAGTCTAGCCTTTTGTTCGACACCTATGTGTAACTTGTTCTTTGCTTATGTTGGTGAACACTTATTTCTTTGTGGACTTCTAGCTTTGTTCTTTGCTCCAGCGGATTTATGGTGTCCCTCTGCTGGGCCTGTTTAGTGATAATTCTATTGTGATTTTGAATAGTAGTATTTTGAACTCTTATTTGAAATAATGCTACAACTAACAGAACTGTACCTTACCATACAAAAATGAAAGATTATGATTGGTTTTGTTTAGTTTCTATATTACTACTTTTGTTATTTTAAGAATCTTGCTCCCTTTTCATTTTGTTATCGATTTTATGGAATTTAATTGTGGATACTGGTAGTTTTCAGGTGTTGGTTTCTTATGTCACCAATTAGTGATATTGATTAATCAGTTTGAGATACATGTGTCTCTTTTTATGAGAATTGATCCTATGCAATTTTTAGGATTTTTCTCTTTTGCTCCCCATTGAGTTGTTGCTTTGAAATCTCTCTTTTTTTATCCTTTGTAAAGTTGTGTAGATGGATGCACTTGCTTCTTATTGCTTAATCATGTTACCCATTAACATAACTTCTTTTCAAGGTACATCCGTTGATTTTTGTTTTGGATTTGCTGATTTCAAGTTTAGGATGTTTTCGTCAAGCAGATTTACATCTTTTCGTAACTTGTATCAGTTCTTTTATTCCTAGTTGATTTTGAGTTAATATAGTTCCATAGAATATCAAAACCATCTACTAATTTTTAGTATGTCATTTTAAATTTTGAATTAGGATCTCGGATTCCTTTGGAGCAGAGAAGTCATGATATAGACTTAAATAATTTGATTCCATTCTTCATTTAGAAAATTTTGAGATTGTTGTTACGAGTGTTAAAAAAGTGGACACAGCTTGAGACTCTCAGCATTAGGTTGGGCCAAGCGGCTCACTGAATTCCAAGTCAGCTCACTGAGTCTGGCACTCCAGGCATTAAAAACTTTAAAAAATGAGTAATTGGGAAAATAAAAAAATCCATTTTTTCCTCAGTTCTACAAAGGATCTCTACATATTTCTCTAAAGTAAATTTCAAATTGAAGAAAAAATGCATGATCTAATTATTAGCTAGCAGATTACATCTAGATCTAGCTGTAATAAGGCCAAGATTGAGGCGGATTTGCATTATTTCAAGAAACCAAAAATATTTGTTCTTTTAGAGTGAATTTTTTTTTAAAATGAGCAAAAAAAAAAAAATCTAATCAATAATAATCAAATAGTGTAAGAACAAATACCTATTCCAGAGTGAATCTAAAACTGTCAAAAATAAAATTCCCATGGATTTCCTAGGTTAGGCTTCACATCAAAGAGATCCAAAGCTCGCCAGTAGGTTTTCAAAGAAAAGACCCCAAAGTCGAAGTCTTTTGATTTCAGAAAATTTACTGATGGACTCAAAATAGGGTTTTGGATCTAAAAGAGCAATAAATGTCAAAGTTGGGGCCCAAATACTCCCAAATGGACCCCAGAGCGAAATATATAGGCTGCATTTTTTCGACGGAAAAAGAACAGTAGAAGACAGTTTGATTAGGCAAGTCCAACAAGAATTGGCTCAAACTTAGACTCTCCTGAGTCCGACAGGAAAATCACCCCGTTCACCGCAGTGAATTGGCTGAGTTAGGTATTTATGATGAGTTGCACCATCTGGACACCAGGGAACTGGGAAACCAGAAAGTCCATGTGACCTGGGTGACTCCAAGCCCAAGCTCTCTGCTATTTAATCACTGAGTACTTATCATTTTGTTGAGATTCAAGAAACCAGAGATTCATGCTTCCTTTCTCTCTTCTCTTTTTACTTTTTAGGATTTCTTTTACAATTCCTGTCTTTATTAGGATTACAAGGAAGCTGCAAGGATCAGGGATTCGCTAAGGTCGTTTGAGGAAGAGGAGCCAGTGCTGCGTATACGGAGATTGATGAAGCAAGCCATTGAGGAGGAGAGATATGAGGTACCAAATTTCAAGAATGTCCATTTCTTTTGAATTTTTGTCTAATTTCTGCATGACTAATTTTCATGCATTTGAAATTTTTTTTTATCCGTCTTTCCTGCATATAGTGACCAAATGAACATAATGTATGAAAAAATATAAGAGCACATAAATGAAAGAGGTTTCCTCTGTAGCTAATTCATATCTCAAATTTTGTTATTGCTTAGAAACAGTATACCTTCTACTCCAAGCACCTTGTTTTCTTAATGGAGGCAATCTACCTCATGCACACCAAAGCAGATGTGTATGGGAGCTGGTTGCTAGGATTATTATAGGGGACTATTACTAGTATAGGTGCTGGTACATTAGGCGGATAGATTTCGGGCACGTTTTTAGGATATGACTAGAGTGTAACATAGATACAACATAGCTGCCGTATTTGTGCTCTCTCTCTCTCTCTCTCTATCTCTCTCTCCCTCTTTTGTGTGTGCCATTTGGATGCTCACTAATAGGTAAAACATGTTACAAAACTCATTGTTTCTACACAATATGTTTTTTTTTTTGGATAATACCTGTATTATGTTTACTTGTGTAGGTTACAAATTTTGGCCTGAGTGATTATTACTATTAAAAGTATCAATAATGTGTAGGGAGTCACATACGTAAAAATTCAACATAGAGAGAAACACATTTTTATTATATCACTTCGGAATCTAGTACATAACACATCACCCACTTACGTGCACATTGTGTACTTGCACACACTTGCACACCACAACACCAACATGCACTACCCCTATTTATAGATTCAAAGGACCGTCTTTGTAAAAGGTTAAAAAAAAGAGGTCGTGCATGTGTATGTTAGGGCAAGTGTGGCATAAGTATTCGCAAGAATACATTGTGTGCATGACTGGGTGATGTGTTATGTATTAGGGTCTGAAGTGATACAATAGAAAGAATTGTTTCTCTCTCTATGTTGATTTTTTATGTACGATAAGAATTCGATACCTGGTGCGAGTGTACAAGTGGTCTCTGAGCTGGTTCGGTGAGGGGCCATTTTACATTAACAATGAGACGCAGTGAAGCCTATCGGTCGGGGGCTGAACTTTTTGGTGAAAGGGATCGACGAGCAACCCACCAATCATGATGGCGAACCTAGTAAACGTAACTAGAGGGCTCGAGAAGTTGAACAACCACAACTATGATAACTGATATTCTGGCAAAAAATCATACCTGTAAGGACATAACCTTTGGGAGGTCGGCAATGGCAATGAAATTGTTGCACTTGTGAGAGAAAATGCTGAATGTAGCAACGTTAGCGCATGAAGGCCAGAAAGGCCATGTTTGTCCTAAAGACAACAGTTCAGAAGGAACTGTTATACCACTTCCAAGAAACAACCATTCCAAAAGAAGCCTAAGATGCATTGGCAAAATTGTTTGCCAAAACAAATGATGGTTGACTACAATTCCTAGAAAACGAGCTAAGATTGGTGTCTCAAAGAACGATATCGATCAGTCCGTATTTCACAAATGTGAAAGCTCTCTACCATGAGATCTCCAAATCAATCCAGAATCATGGATCAACGAGATAAGGATGAGATGGATCATCACTAGAGGATTGAGACCCGAGAATAGTTAGTTCATGACGGCAATCAGAGGTTGGCCGACCCAGCTGTCGCTTTTGAAATTAGAAAGTCTAAACGTCGGGCAGACAGATGGCCAGCCTATCAACAAAAGCTGAGGATGAAGCACTTTTTACTCGGATAAGCAAAGAAGTCACGAAGAAGGAGAGACTACTAGGACCAGCCAAAGGAGAGAGGGGTCCTAGCAAAGGGGAGCTAAACAAGGCAACACTTACACTGATTTGTGACTAAGGAGACCTTGACAAGACATCGTGTGTTAAAGGTCACTAAGCTCACGAATGTTGGTAGAAGAAAAAGAAGGCAGCGATAAGTCATTAGAGTGAGATTGAAGAAGAAGGATGCTCAGGTGTCCTTTGTAATAACTGAAGAATTCAAACAGACAACTTTGGAACTAGCCGATTGTCGATTCACTGACACAGGAAGCTATAGAAAGGGCTGATATGAGCAAATGAATTGAGTGAACTATGATGACTGCAAAAGCCAGAGGAGCTAGCTTTTATCACAATCTCCAGCTCCAAAGCCATTGATTACAGTTGAGACTAGATTCTCGATTCAGGATGCTCAAATCATATGACTAGAGACAAGGCTAAGTTCCTCAACTTGGCTGTGTACAAGGGAGGCAAAGTCGTGGTTACAACCAATAATGCAAAGCTACCAATCACCCACATTGGCAAGGCTATCTACATGCCTCGATTCATTACAGGAAAGACCCAACTGCAAGAAGTGTGCCATGTACCAAGAATGATGAAGAACTTGTTGTAAGTATCATAGTTGACAGCCACAGGCAACTTCGTTGTGTTTGACCCTAATAACGTCAAGGTATATCAAAGCTCAAAGCTGCTAGACCAGTCGATTATGGTGGGTCGATGACTAGACTCTATCTATGTAATGTCAGTCAAGTTAGCTAATGTACAAAAGAGTCGACAAAGTAGGACTGTTGATCTATGGCATGCTGGATTGGCGCACATGAGCATCAGTGCGCTGAAGGTATTGATGGATCAATTACTGGTGAGGAAACTTCCTTAGATGGAAATCCAGACAGATACTGTGTGTAGGCTATCAGTTCAGAATGCCCATCGACAGCCATACGCCAAAACGAAATACCGTGCCAAGAGGCTGCTAGAGATTATCCAATCAAGATGTATTTGGCTCAGTGAAGCAACAGTCGGTCAGAGGCATGAAATACATGCTCGCTTCCATCGATGACTATTCAGGTATGTGTGGGTGTACCTCAAGAAAAGTCAGAGGTCTTCAAAGCCAGCGGACCAATCCCTACACCCCACAACAGAATGGAGTGGCCAAGTGGAAGAATCAATATATAGCCGAAAGTTGCAGAAGTATGTTGCATGCTAAAAATTTGCCAGACAGATTTTGGGCCGAGTGTTTGAAGACAGTGGTGCCCATCATCAATCGGCTGCCTTAGCCAAAGTTAGAATTTATCTCACTGTATGAGAGGCTCTAAAAGATCAAACCGACTGCAAGTCACTTTAAGGTATTATGTTATATTCTTTTTCAAAGAAAGCTCGAGAAAAAGGTGTTACGGTTCATATTTGTGGGATATGACACAGAAACAAAGAGGTGGAGGTCTTGCAACCCTACCATTGACAGATGCTATACATCACGAGATGTAGTCTTTGATGAGGCATCATCTTGGTGGACTCCAAAAATCACAAAACTACCATAGTATCGGAGATGACTATAGATTGAAGACCGAGGAGACTCAAGATGAAAAGCCAGTTGAACCAAATTAAGAGGACTAGACGCAAAACAACACACTGACTACATTGAGAAGACACACGAGGTCGTGAGAGATGGTGTCCATAAGTCAAGGACACCTGAGTAAGCTCAACCAAGCTAGCTAGAAGAGATAATTGAAGAACCACAACTACGGTGGGCAACCAAGGTCAGAAAATTGAACCCCAAATTTGTGGATGCTACGTTGGCTGAAGTAGATGATATACAAAAACAAACCTCACATGAGGAGGCCAGCCAAGGTTCAAAATGGTAGAAGGCTATGGAGGAGATTTTGGCACTCGAAAAGAGCCCAACACGGGACTTGGTTCCTAACTAAAGGAGGCAAAGCCTATTTCTTGTCGATGGGCGTGCCAAGCGAAAACCCATGCCGATGGATTGATTGAAGGATATTTGGGTTTATGGGATCCACTATGAATTGACCTTTAGTCCTTTGGCCAATATTACAATAGTATGTGTACTTCTTGTGCTAGCTATCAAGACATGGAAATTAGGGTAGATACATGTGAAGAATGCTTTTCTTTATGGAGAGGTTGATCGGACATCTATATGGAGCAGCTCAAAGGGTTCAAAAGTAGAGATCAGCCAAGTGGTTGATTATTTGTAAAAGTCAGAAATGGTTGATTATCTATTATACTTGTTTACATCAATGACTTGATTAGGTCATCGAGCCTCTTTGATTCAAGCATGTTCATTTTCTTTGTATGACTCTAATAAAATCAAATGAAATTAATTAATATCAATATATAATACTACAAAACTACAAATTTACAACTGACATAGTAATAATTACTAAGTAACTGGTAACTACTAAAGTACTAATGCAAATTAGTAAATTGTAATTTGTAAATTAATAAAGTAAACTAAATTACCATCTCAAAAGTACTCCAATTCCGCTCAGAGCCGGATGAGATAGTGGTTAGGCTCAAGATCCGAATGGCCAACTTTTGTAAATTTGGAGCACTACACCCATCTGGCTCCATCAATTTGCTGCAAATTGATTATGAATTAGAAATGTTAATTTTATATGAAATATAGGTTATGGAAAACACACAACAAACATGAAATGAAACTTGAACTTGAGGAACTTAACGAATATTATTACCTAGATCAATTTTGGTCCTTTGCCTCACTGCCATTGGACTCCCAGAAGACATTAATTTGCACTTATAGCTTATTAGCTCGTCAGTGCATATAATATCTACGATATCCGGATTAGTGACTAGCACATCTATGCACTTATTAAATCCAGTCATTTGTGTACATATCCTTATCAGCGTAACAAAAAAGTTGGGTTAAAAAAAAAAAAGATAGCTGCATGCAATGGCCTATGTAGCTGCCTATCCCACTTCTCATCAATAATCTTCCAAACAGGTTCATAGCAACTCACATCATCATCTAAATTATTGGTTATCTCTCTCTTGCATATCTCCATTGCCTCATATATGTAGGCCGTGGAGGGTTTGTCACTATCTACGATGCGAAGGACTTTGAAAAGAGGAAAAATACCTTAAGAACTCCTTTCACACCTCGCCAAAAAGCCTTAGAAAGGATAATATCTCTCACTTTCCCTTTCTAATCCCTGGACCACTTGCATATTGTCCACTCATTAAAGGTAAACATCTG